AAAATAAAAAATTAAGAGTTTGTATTTGAACATCAGTTTCATCATCATTCCGGCAAAGAAAAATCAAGTTTGCAAGTCAGTTTCTGATCACATCAGTTGCTGTGTTTACATTGACAACATTTCTACAACCTTATTAGAACCCTCCTGATTAGAGAGCCCAACTAAACAAAGTGATCTGATTAGATTTGCTTCCCAAGTGGTTCTTGAAGATTGTTTTTCTCAACTTCACTGAGAAGATGTGACTGATTCAGTAGAAGAAAATGACCCACATTGTGTCCCCAGAACTATTTATTTGCATTTCTGCTCTTCTCTCTAATGAAGCTTCAGCACAAGAAGTAGGACCTTTACAGCTCACCTAGAGAAGTAAACTTAGTGCCCCTTCTTCTGCAAAACACCAGGAGAAAGGTGGGAAAGACTGAGTAACATGAAGGATATCCTCATTCCCATCAGAAGTAATTGATCAGATGAAGATTTTACATTGTTATAAACTATAATATATTCATTTCTATTCTTACTGAGCTTTTATTCCGATGATTCGTGGAACGCTTGGATCCACGTGAAAGCAGCTTTTGTCTTTTTTGGAATAAATTCTCAGACTGTATCTGCGAAAACCCAAGTAATTGTGTGTTAATTAGGCATGATGATGTAAATTTGCGACCTTTTTATCGGATCGCTGCTGCGCCTTCACTTTATTTGCTTACAGTTGCAGAGATGTTCAGAAATATGAGCTCAAAATGCTAATTCACTGCTTGTCGGATGTGGGACGGGGAAAGCAAAAGCTCGTAATTTACAGAATGTCATTAAGGAATCAGAATGTTGGTTTAACGAACAACACAGCGTCCAGGGATGAAGCTATATTACTAATCATGCAATGAATGACTGGATAGAAATTAGATAGCAAACACAATGGCTCTCCAACAGACACACACTTGCACGCACAGACCTCCACACACACACACACACTGGGCCGCTCACACAGAGGATTAAGGCCAGGTTGGCCTACTGAGACAGGCTGCCAGTGATTCCATCCTCCCTCCTAAATGGATGGTGACATTCCGATGTGAGCGGCGCTCCATGGAGGCGTGATGGGTGACCCAGATCGGGGTGGGGTATGGTGTGTGTGTGTGGGGGGGTTGGTGAGGTCGGATTAGGGCCGGGGTGGGGCGGCGAAGTCGGTGGTGGAGGAGAGGGATGGAAGGTAGAGCGGAGTGGTGGTGGGGGGTGAAGACGACGGTAGTGAAAAGACAAAGAAAAGAAGAAGTCAGACGAGCCTCAGGCCTGCCGCCACACCTTCTCCTCTCCTTTTATAAGAGATCACGCCAGCATGTTCGATTTGAGACATCAATCCTGAGATGTGATGGGATCTGACAGTCCCTTTTTTTTTGAGTGCTGTTGATTTAACCCTTTCAAGATCAGGCCTCTGTGATGGTTCACATGCTGAGCAGCTGCGGGGGAACTGCTGGGCTTCTCGCCTTTCTGAGAATACAACAATCAAACATGGTTTATTGGTGTGGGGGCGCTGTACAATAGGTGATGGCATTATTTCTCAACGGGGTACCTTTAGCTTCTGTTTTAGAGCTGAAGAGGAGGTTGGTTTTCGTCTTGCCATATAGTTTTATCTGCTTTTAAAAGGTTTGTTTGTAGATTATGGCTTCGGAGAGAGTGATTGTGATGGAAATAAAAACACAATATGAGGTTTTCCATGCGTGGAAATTCCAATCTACTGCTTTTTTATGTTGGTAAAGACGCCCGTTTTATCGTTTTCTCTCTAACACAATGCGACTCGTAAACCCTTAAAGGGGAGCGATGAGGGAGGGCAGTGCCAGATCACATTAACCACACGAGGATGACGGGGTGTGCCTGGAGAGCTGGCAAACTCAGAGTGGCACGAGTTCACGATCGAATGTTGTTGGAGTCCCAAAGTTAGAGAATGAGTGAAGGTCAAAAGTCAAATTCCTTCTGTTTACATATTGGACCCATATCTACTGTACTTTTGCGGTTGTTGAGGGTACATGGAAAGATTTGAAGCTAGTAATTACATTTTTGTTTAAAATATACATCCACATATAAGTGGAGTTGTATGGAGAGGTCAAGAAAACCAGCTAGCAGAGGGGTAAAGACGTCTAAACAGCTAGTTAGCTAGAAATAGTGGATAAATGATAGAAATAGCAAACTGCAGGGAAAGTACGCTTCAATTAGTTAGCTAAAAGTATGAAGAAATAGTTTAACAATAAAATTAAAGGAATAGAAAAAACAGCGAAATGTCTTAACGGTATAGTTGGCTAAAAGTAGCGGCTAACTGTAGAAATAGCTAACTGCAGTACAAGTATTAAACACGTCAATTAGTTAGCGAAAAGTATTGAATAAGTAGTTTCATTATTAGATTTGAAAAAAATTATGTACAAACATCTAAAAGTATAGACTATAGTTGGCTAAAAGTAAAGAATAAGTAGTTTAATAATTAGATAAAAAGTAATGTACAAACAGCTAATAGAAATGTTGTGGATTAGCTAGGAGTAGCTAGCTACACTACAAGTATGAAACACTTAAATTAGTTATGAATAAGTAGTTTAAGAATTAGATAAGAGTCATGTACAAACAGCTAAAAGTATCGACTTTATAGTTGGCTAAAAGTTGTGGATAAATGGTAGAAATTGCTCGCTACAGCTAAAGTATAAACACCTAAATTAACCAAAAGTAGTAAATGATTAGTTTATTAATTGGATAAAGGAATGGACAAGCAGCTTGAAATGTAAACTGTACTTAACAAAAAGTAAAATGTATAATTAAGAGAAAGTCTAAAAATTTGAAGTAGTTAAAATGGTGACCTTCTAGCTGAGAAGTTGCCGTAAAGCTAGTTTGATTATAGAAATAAAAAAAAATATACAAATAGTTTGCTAGGTATCTTAAAATAAATTGGCAAAAAAACAGTAAATCAGCTAATCATAGTGTGTATATACTGTTGAAATAGCTTAAAGAAAATGTTAAACAGCCAAAAACTGCTCAAAGCTGTTAAAATAGCTGCCGAAGAATCAAGAATGAAAGGTTCTAGTCGCTAACCTTTCTGGGTAAATGGTTGAAACGTCTAACTTCTGTTTTGAAAACTGTTTTGTACGACTATCGACTTTTATATAACTTTAATATCAAATGACATCAAGTTTATAATCAGTTCAAACGGACACATTTTGAAAATGGCAGGTGGTGCTGAGGAACCAAATTGAGGTTACCTTAAGGACACCTGGTCCACAGGTGAGACCAGACTGTCTGGTGATGTGAATGTCATTTCATTAAGCAGTAAAGCGATGCTGCTAAACAGTAGTAAAACAGAAAAAGGAGGTCAGTGTGGCTCTAAACTGGTTGCGTAATTGCCAACAGCTTGACTCACGAGGGTCATTTGGGTACGATTACTCTAACGTAGCACCGATTCTACCAGTTTTCCTTAAGCTACTTAAGCTACTAATTAAAAAGTCAGTACTTCTTAGGATGTAATGAAAGAGGTGTTTGGACCTGGGTACCCCTGGGCATGCCGATACACGCCTTTAAGTTAAAAGGTGAGCTGTCTCAGTAATTTAGTGCCTTTGTATGAAATAAAAACAGCTTTATGTAAGCGGCCGAGGTTGCCGGCATCCTTTGAAAGGACAAGCGCGGCGCGATGTTGCCAAAACAGCAGCCGAAAAGCAGGTCAATGCAATTCTACACCAGCATCAGCAACAATGTGGCGCACCAGTTTTCTTCCTTAGCAACAGCTGGGACTCGCCTCGCCCCTGTGACGGAGCCCTGGGCTGAGATTTTTCAGTCTCAGACAGTTTGGCCCAGTATCTCTGAGTGTCAGTAGGTCTTCCTCCTCCTCCTCCTCTTCTTCCTCCCTCTCCTCTGATCTCCACATCCTCGCACTGCAGCAGACATTAGCCCCGATCGCCTGTCGTCATGCAGCGCTGCAGGGAAGGAGGGGAGGCAGGCTTTTCCTTTCTTTCTGAAGAGATGGAAAGAGGGATGAGAAAGGAAATGAGAAAGGGGCGATACCATTTTGCACAGAGGAAAATTTTTGCTTTATTGCTGAGAGTTAGGCGAGACAACTGACCTCTCTCGCGTCTCGGCAGCAGAGGAATATGAAAAGATGAATCAGAAAAGGCTTAGGAGGTTAGGACAGAAAGGCTCAGGAGAAAGGAGGAAATGAGACGGACGGATGAGAAAGAACCGCTGATAATTTGTTATGATGAAATTAGCTGCAGCTGCATGATTGTAATGACCCTGTTTGGGCTGCCAGCCATGGGAGGGCCCCCTGCTAGTGTTTGAAAACCAACATTTATGTGTTTCCTCCATGAAGAGAAAACGCTGCTTTTATGAGGGTACGTGCTTGATTAGAATGTCGACACTTTGCTCGAACCTTTTTGTCTTTATAATTGGTGCTGAAGAGCTTGTTGCGCTCGTAGTGGGAGCTAATTGTCCGCCACGCGTCGCACTCGTACGTCTGGATGGGGGCAAACCCATCTGCCGGACCCCCACAAGACCTGTTCCAGTTGCCACGGTAACAGCCTCCTCATCTGCGGTGAGGGGATATGAAGGGTGTGTTCATCTGTTTTTTTTTTTTTATTGAGCTTTCTGCGGCACGGTGGAACACATTTTTATAATTACGCATTGTTTTGATGCTCTCCACTAATTACCCACGTTTGTTTATTGTGGTTGACGCTGATTCCATTTGGTTAATATTTTCATCCAAGCGAGCTCACAATGACTGCAGCAGGTGGTGCGTCGAATGCACTGTAAAACAATGAATCATGACCGATGGGACACGGATAGATTTTGTCGGTCTCTCCCCCTCCAGTCTCAGCACGTGGATGCTGAGACAAAGGCCAGTTGGCTGAAGCCGGTAGACGAACAATGTGGCACCGTGCGCCCTCTAGTGGCTCCTCTGTGAGCTTCCACCATGCAGGACTCCCTCTTTATTGCTGTGTATGACTCCATCATCTCTGCCCGTTCTGTTTCTCATCTCTTTCCAGACACAACAGGTGACCCGTCCCCTCCCCGGTTTCCCAGCATGGCAGACGGTCGGCAGCCAGACGAGCACTGGGCCTCGAACGGCCAGGAGAACGGCGAGAACGGCTACTCCGCCTACAGCTCTGCCTACAGGGAGAACGGATACCACGGCGGGGCGGCCGCGCACCCCGGGACGACAGGTAGGCAACGTGGTGGCGGGTTGGCGTGCATGAGCGGCGTGTCGATGGCATCGATTGACACGAGTCGACCGACAGATGGGGGGGGTCCGCGGCGTTGTGATTGGTTCCACGGTGCCGGGCAAGGGCGATCAATCCCCTCAAGGCACTTGGACGGATCAAACTGTTTCACATTTGAATGAGCGCTGAACACGAGCCAGCTGCTGTGTGGACAAAGGCAGAAGGGCAAACCGGCGGTCCCTAAAGACGCAGCTGTGGGTCTCTGGTGGCGTTGACCGCTCACATGTGTGGACAGAAGGCTTTTGGGCCTTTCTGGAAGTTGACCAGAAAGCTGGTTGACTTTTTGAATGAAGGTTTATTTTGCTGTTTGACATTCAGACACATGCTTGTTTTTGAGGGTTTTGCTTTTGGCACCGAGTATATAATAACCCTCCAGGCTTTAAATTATGCTAATGTGGCTGGCTAAAAGTAATTAAATCTGACTAATTACATAAACTGCCATATGATCTTGTCAGAATCGGGAACATTTGAATGGGTAGTAATTAATATTTGATACAAAGCGATTGGTCCAAGCTTGAAAGTGTGATCGAGGAGATTGTTTTGGAAGTAGAAGCTTTATTGACACAGCAAACGGGGACCACCGGAGTAAAATGTGTGCAAAAAGAAGTCTGCAAAGGCGTTTTCTTTCAAATATAATCTCAAAAAATCAAACAAGAGGGCATCAAAGCTTTATAAAAATGGGGAATTGAATGGAAATTGTGAGTTTTGGGCTTTTTTTGGCTGCATCTATAGTGAATCCTTCACTATAGAAGGCTCAGTTTTGTTTTTTTGACATTTCTACGCCATCATAATGCCCATTACTGGTGTCAGAAACCAGCGTGTCGGACGCAGCTCGATGTTTTCTCCTTTATAAATAAACTCCTGAATAAATAATTCTGAGGTAAGTCGCTGCTCTCGGGCCGTTCTAATCAAATCGTGGAGGAGCTTCTGTCCTCTGCGTCCACGACTCATCAAAGAAACACAAAAGCTGTGATTTGAAAGGGAGACCACACAAACAGAGATAAGGTCAGCAGAGTTATTAGTTTTTCATTTCCTTCCTCCCATCCACGTCTTGTCTTCCCGGTGTGTCTCTCTCTCTCTCTCTCTCTTTCTTTCTCTTTCTCCCTTCGCAGTGGATGACTCAGCCAATTTGCCTCCCTCCCCTCCCCCCTCTCCATCCGCTGAGCAGATTGGGCCCGTGGCACAAGGTACACCTACACACACTTTAAAAGCGAGACCATCCAGGATGACGGTGTGAATGGTGGTGAGAGTGGCACAAATGTCTCTTAAAAGCAAAGACGCCAAATCACACTGAGGGTTTCGAGACACGGCAGCCTCCTCTTTCTCCTTTCATTTCCTGGTTCTCGTCACTTTGCATGATCGTCATGTCACCTCTTAAGAAATCTGCAGCATGTGCCACTGTCCTGTCCCCTTAAATGCCTTCAGTATTAGTCGTCTTAACACATAGCGGACACAAAGACCGGCCAACACAAACACCGTTCCCTCCCCTCAGGCAAAAGTACATAACCTGCCACCGGAGCCCTTCATTTCATTAAGTCTGCTTCAGCCCTCACAGCAACTCCTCTGTTGTTCCTCGGCTCATTTTGTGTATCCATTAGTGAATCACCGATTGACTTTCAGCTCTTCATCACAAAGGACGCTGCTTTCTAATCATTTCTCTCTGAGCATGTGGCATGCAATCACAGAAGTGTAGAATTATTTAGTCTCTCTGCATGTTTCCTATTTAATGCCGACATTTATAGACAGAACAAATTCCGAGACATTAAACTGACATTTGTTGAATAGAATCTGATCTGAATGCACAGATGGAGCATACATGTTTTATTCAGGCTTAAAGATGTGTTGTTTACAACTGCAGTAAGATGCTATAACTACTCATATGTGTAATGTACAAACTTCTATATATGTATTTATGTTGTTAAATATTTATCCACAAAGACCAGGCTAGAAGGTGTGCTGATTGCATCCCATGCATCTCCATCAGAGCTGAAAGCATCTTGTAACCCATGCAAAAGCCCTCCATGTCTCATCTATGTGTCTCCCTTCCCTGCCCAAAGATGATAAAGTAGAGGTTGTCAGTCAACTGCAAGATGAGGAGGAGGCTCCAGAGGAGCCCGGCACTTACCAGGAGGAAGTGGCATATGAGCAGCCAGGAGACTCGCTCTTAGAACAGACAGATTATTTAGCAGAGCCCCAGGCTTTGGGCTGCCAGCAAGCCCAGACACCTGAGGCTCTCAATGGAGGAAGCCATCAAGGTGAACACAGCCCGTCACAAAAAGGTGTGTGTGTGTGTGGTTTTGTGGGGTTTTGTGTGAGGTGTGTGTGAGCAATGTGCACCTTTTTCTCTTTCTGAGTGAGCCTGAGTCTGCCCTATTTTGCATGAACCCCATTGTGCTCTGTTAATGGGTACACAGACTTCCTGCTCTTGGTTTATAAATTGTAATGCAACTCAGGCTTCGCTGCCAACCTTCCTGCAGCTTTGTTGCTCTTGAAACCCTTAAGCTTCTGCTTCAGTACCTGAAGCTGTCATGTGCAAAACGATGTGACATAGCATTTTGATTTTGTGCTTTTTCATGCAAAACATGACCATTCGCTTTTCATCGGAGCGACATTCGAACGCCTGATCAACCACATCGCAGTTGATCATTTCTGCACTTTTGTATTGCCAGCTACATTGCAAATGCAAATACCACCGTCTGAACTGTCAAGCACTGTAGATGTAAGTGTTGCTAGAATTAGTTGTCTGTATATTTTTTCATGTGGGTTTTTGCTGGAATATTGTGTGTGAAGGAGCCGTTTCTGAGAACGCCCACCTGTTATGGGTGCTTCACAAACTCGTCCTGAATGTATTTTAAGTCTGTTGTATATCACTTGCTTCGAGTTTCAGTGTTGTTTTCATTTCATCCCGATGCAAAGGATAATTATGTTTTCCTATTGTTACTAAGAACACACTTTGGGCATTAAAACTCACCCTCATTGGACATGTATCATCAACCTTATCGAGGTTTAATAAAGCGTACACCCCGAATAAATTTTACTTACACATTTTTCTTTAAGCTCTATAAAGATTCATTCATATCCACAGTAAGCCACACTAGCAGCAGAAGCACCATGAGTACATTGATAATCTTTCTTTGTCATCAGGTTGACCATTTTTTGCCAATGTGTATTGCAATAGGAATTCAATATATTGGTGTACCATTTTTTTTCTTGTCACCTAACATCATGCAACTCATTCCTTCATTCCAGTTCTGCACGCTATTTTAGGTGCTGTGAAACCCCCCCTGTGCTGTTGTGGCCTGCCACAAAATACACTGTGCTGTGTGTTTTGCTTGATGGAGAGCTACTGTATCTATGTGCAGAAGGCCTCGGCTTGACTGTATTGGCTAGCTTTTGTGGATGCTGCAAGCAAAGCTTTTAGCTAATGTGACTCAGCCCAAAGTTGTACAGTATCCTTCAAACTCACAGCCCAGCCAGAAGAGAGTATCAGTCAGGAATCTTGTGAGTCTGCTATGAAAGAAGATGAGCCTCACATGTCGCCGCTACATGAGACACAGGTGGCTGCCGAAAGAGCAACACCTGAAGGAGAAGAAGTTGCCTCGAGTGAACCTCCCCTTCCCTCTGTGAAAGATCTTTCCGACACTTCCTCAACTGAGCAGGCTAATCAAGACAGAAAGGATGCACAAGAAGAGGCTGCTGAGGACCAAATGCTTTCGGAGGCAAAAGAAGCTTTACGAGCAGAGGACTTATCGCATCTTCAGGCAGGGGGCGAAGCGGAAATTATGTTACCGAGTGAATCAGGAGCCCCTATAAATGAGAGCAAGGGACAAACGGGAGCAGTCGAGGCGATAAATAAGGAAGATAAAGGCGGTGATGTCAGGTTGCATGAGACACCAGTGACTAACATTCAGAACGCAGACCAGAGGCAAGAAACAGCGAAGTCAAGTCCTGAGCCTGGCACACAGTCAAAAACCACTTCGGATATTTTTGTAGAACACGAATCACGATCGAAAACCTACTTCGAGACATTCTCCAAAAGCCAAGAAGAGGAGTCACCACAAACCCAGAGCTATTATGAACTCAGCACAGCAGCAGAGGCAACGCTAAGTGGAGAAAATGAGAGCGTTGCTCAAAAGCTGGAGGAACCACAGGAGGAAAAACTTCGAACATCTGGTAAAATGTCTTTAGAACAAAGAAGCCTCTCGCTGAACATTGCTGTTGGGTCTTCAGCGGGACAGACAGCAACGGCGGAGAAGTCGAGCACCTTCTCCGCGAGCTTGTGTCCAATCAGTGGAAGCTTTGATGAATCTGAGGTTTATCCTTCGACTCCATCTGTGGAGAGCCAGACACCTCAGTTTCCTCCAGCCGTCTCCATTACCCCAACGACTACTGCACAACCTGAAGATACCCCCACAACGGAGGCAGAAGCACCCTCACCTTCTGATAAGCACACACCTGATTTTGAACGATCAGAAAGCCTCTCTGAGATGTTGGACTTGGCTGGAGCGCTGCCTCGTCTGTCACTTGAGAAGAGGGAGATCGACACGAGACGGAAATCAGTACCTGCCAATGTATCGGCTCTGGTGGGGAGTTCTTTGGAGAAGCTTGCATTGGCAGATCAAACCTCAAGAGGAGTGGCAAGAGAAAGCCAGTCGGAGGAAGCTGGCTATTGTGTCTTCAGCGAGTACTCGGGGCCTATGCCTTCTCCTGCTGATGTTCCCAGTCCTGGGGACTCTCCACACCAGCGTTTCCCTTCTATGGAGGGTGAAGTGGAGGAAGAAGTTGAGTCCACAGAAGTTGAAGGTGTTCACAAAGGACTGCAGCAACAAGGTCTCAAAGGAATTGTGCCTGAAAGCCCTCCAAAAATAGTGGAAAAGAAAGATCCACCATTAAAGTCTAGCCTGATTCTTGAAAAAGCTGTGCCAAGTGGAATAAAACCGGATCGTCTTAGAATCCCAATGACTGGTTCAAAAGACCGACTGACTGAGTTTCGTTTGGAGACGGGCCTGCCTGGGGACCTAAAGATCCAGGCAATCCCTGAGGTAGACATTGAAAAAGACCCCTCAAGAGAGGCTTCTCCCATTCCACCAGACAACTCCTTTACTTTCAATCCTTCAGAAACTGGAAGCAAGACTCCCCTGACTCCCCTGACTCCCTGCACCCCCAAATCTCCAGGTGATACACCCTCAGAAACCCAATTCACTGGAGAGACGGAAATAAAAGATGTCTTAGCAGAGGTGAAAGCAGAGAACAAGTCGGAGTCGGAGAGGGCTGAAAATAAACAGCCTGAGTTGGACCATGAAGTGCTGAAACCTGAGAAGAAAGAATCTGAAGAAAGAAGTGATGAACCTTCAGCATCGTGTTTAGGAGACAGCACAAAAGAAGATGACGAGAAGAGTGAGCATGGGACACCTGCAAGATTGGAAGAAATAGAAAGGCGAGATACCTCAAATGCTGCACAGGATTTAAGCACAGAAAAACCTTTAGATGGGAAAGACACCCAAATCCACATTCAGGAAGTGACTCCAGCAAAATGCTCACCAAAGCTACAGATATCCTCTCCAATCATCATCATACCTCAAGCACAAGTCGAGGAAGAAGCAGAGGAAGAGGATGACATCGAGATCGCCGAAGAGCCTCAAGAGGTAATGGAAGAAGCTGAAGAGTCTCCGCCCGTCAAGACGGGTCAAGCAGAGAGTCTAGTTACGAAGGAAGAGCCAAAGAAAGAGCCGGTGAGGCTGATGTTAGGTGATCAGCTGTTGGATGACGATCCCAAGTCTGGAGCAGATGATTGGAGTCATAGTGCCCAAAACAGTGATGATGGGGAACCAGCAACAGACAGTTCGCATTTGTCTCCGTGCTCTGATCATGACCCGCCACAGCAAGCAGAGGAAGGAAGCCGGGAGGAGGAGGTGGGAGTGGATAAAAGTGAAGAGGACTTAGATAAGATGGAGGAGGAGAAAGAGGAGCATGAAGGGGTGAAGCAAGACCAAACGAGGGAGGAGGAAGGGGAAAAAGTTGGTTCTGATGAGAAAGAGGAGGAGAAGAAACTGTTGGAAAAAGAAGATGGGGGGATTGAGAGGATGGGGGAGGAGGACAGTAAGAGTGTTCAGGAGGTGGACGAGACCTCTGATGTTCTATGCGAGACCAGTCAGGCAGCCAACGACGAAACCACCATGGACGCGTCGATCCTTGATACAGACAGTGGCTGGATGGAGTCACAAGGTACCCAGAATTGTAAAATTTGTAAAGAAATTACTTGTAAAATTCTTGTTTAAGACCTCTGATGTATATTTAACCACTTTAATATGTGTATATCAGACGCTAGCTTGTCTCTAGTTCATTGCTTTTGTGCTAAGCTAGCCCCAAGCTAGCTAAGAGTGTGGAGTACAGTCCCTTTTTTGATCCCTCTCCACTGCAGATGATGACAAAAGTATCATGACCGAGCAAATCGAAGCCCTTCCTCACACCCAGAGTTCTACCAGCACACCAGTGGTGGTGGACAGACCCGCTAAACGGGGGCCTGGCAGAGGAAGGGGCCACCCCGGTACCACTGATTGTAAAGTGTCCCGCAAAGTACCGAGCCACCATCCGCCAAGAGAGGAGATGAAGAAGAAAAAAGGTTCCAATCCTGTATTCAAGAAGTATTTTTTTTGTATTTAGTCTGACACAAAATCTTATGTAAAGCACTTACATTTTCTTAATGTTTCGATTGTAATGTCTCACGAAACTTGATGTTACAGATTTACCTGCCTGAAGTAGACTTAACCGAGGTTTGCATGTTGGTATAATCCTGTCTCTCCTCTCTGCTACTGCAGTTGGTTTGAGGAGGGCTGACCAGAATAAGGTGTCAGCCCTCCAAAGTCGCTCTCCGTCTCGAAAGAGCGTAGCCAAAGTGGCGGCCAGACATCCTAGGCCCGCTGTGCTTCACGGCTCTGCTAGACGCAAGGCCACAGGTGAACACTTCACCGGGAATCGGTGCCGTGGATAGAGAGAGAGTGCAACCAAATTTTAGCCCCAACATAGCGGCTGTGTTACCCAGTACTTAATTCAACTGGAAAAAATCTATCAAAGGTGAAACAATACAGTCGATGGTAATGAAGGATGTGGTGATTTAGCTCTCTCTCTATTGATGGCTCAATGAGGAATCAAGCAGGTGCGGTGTAGCTGGCAAACATCATGTGCTACTGATCCATATTTCAAAATATCATGTCTGGTCATTTTTTATGTTTTTTTCCCCTCTCTCTCTCTCATTTGTCAAAAATGACTCTTGCTTGGCTTCATCCTCATGTTTGTGTTTCTGCTCAGTGATGCTGTCGGTTGATGTGACTGATGGCTACCAAGTGAAAAAGCAGATTTCATTCCTTTAACCTTGTTTTCACTTGTGTTTGCTGGAAAATGGCCGCATGTTGAAGGAGTGTGTTTGGTCGACTTGTGTGAAAAGCTCCATGAATGTAAAGTGACTAAATGTGATGCTTACCATGTGTATATATATCTAAGGGCGTGTCTACTGTTGGAAGCCAACACTGTTGACTTTTGGACTGTCTTTTCATGGATGTGCATGTTTGTGGAGATGTCGCCTCCTGCTGGTGTACATTGGTATGACAGCGTGACTCTGTTTGGCTTGCAGGTATGGAGCACCATCAGCCCCTCAGTGTGGCCCACCAGTCCAGGGAGAGGACCACTGTAAGTACTATCAACACATGCAACGACTTACTGGCACTTTTTTTGCATTTTATTTGCTACCAACGGGAAATTTTGCACTTAATGCATTACATTTTTTGGCATATTAATTTCACATTACGATCAGATATTAAGATATGATGCTGATATATGCACGTATTTCTTCCACCTGATTGCTAACAACAACAGAAGGTCTCTCCCGTAGTGGAACTTTATCAGCCAATACCGGTGACATGAAACCACATGTATCATCCTGATTTAGAGGTGGAAGACACGCTGTGACGGCAATTAAATCTAAATGCTGTTTAGTACAGTCATTTGTTGCATTTGTCACAGGGGATGAGGGATGACGTGCTTCTTCACTGATTATCTCACACACAATCACATCAGGGAATTTAGCTGCATCATTTTAGGTTGCAAGCAGGTGTCTTGGTGACTTTCGCAATACAGCTCTCTGTGTTACGTCATTGGGTGGCTTTGCATGTCAACCTTCTCTCATTTTTTCCATTTCTTGCATGTCTGTGTTGTCTTTATTTTACTTCTGTCTCTGTGCGTAATCGTTTTTGTCTTGCATGCCTGCCTCTGTGCTTGTGTCAGTCTCGACAGAGAAAACCCGTGAGTACAGACAAACAAACGACAGCGGCCATTTGTTGGTGCATTAGGAAAACACTCTTTTTGTTTTTTTTGAAGATGTCTAGGATTTTTTAAACTGATTTAGGACATTTTTTGCAACGCTGAATCCAAAAGATGCATCTGCTTTCTGTACCAGGTCAGGTTTTTATGCCAACTCGATAAAAAAAAATCAATTTGCCACTTAATCGATTACATTTTTTGATATTAGCGATTGATTTATTTTAGTGTTTCTCATATGAAATCAGATTTTCATTTTCTAACCCTTTCCATAAGCTAAATGATCCAAAAGTTGATGAGCGTAAACATTTGTAAAGGTAAATTACATGTTTCATCAAATTGAAAATTTGTCCTCATTGAGCAAAATCAATGTCATATTTGGATTCAGCACTTTGCAAATCAGCTCAAAAACTCCAGAATGGGTGTAGACCAGTGGAATGAGCAGTGACAAAGGGCTTCATTCAAATAATTTCAGGCAAATTCTGTGTTTTGATGTGAAAAAAGCAGAACATTTCATTTCAAACATCTTTTTCTCCTCCATTGTCAAATACTCTGCTTCCCTTTGTGTTTTATTTCTTTTATATATAAAAGAAAAACAAAATCTGTCCCACTAATTCATCGTATTGTCGACTCTCAGAGCTAATAATAATAGTGTGCATGTTGGTGTCTTACTTTATAATTGACATTAACTCTGATTTACGAGCAGTTTCTGGGTGTTTTTGCCACATTTTTGCTCACTGTAGGTTAATTTTTTACTGCAATATAGAGTTGTGTCCCTCTGTGGAAGCAACACAACCACAGCTAGACAAAAAAAAAAGTGCAGTCTTGGAAAGTCATACATTTTAATTTTTTAAAAGCATTTTTTTTTTGCTAAAAATATATATGGAAAATATTTACTTTTTTATTTTATTATTTAAAATTTTTATATTGTAGAAAAAGTGGGAAAAAATAGAATCAACATGTACAACAAATGTCAACAAATAGTAAGAAAAAACAGCCTGCTATAGATAGTTACTACTTAAATTAATTTTTTTTTTTAACTTGTCCTCGCACAGAAGTTTTATTTTTATATAATTTTTTACAGAATCTGGTTCTGTAAAAATCTGGGCAGATTTTTAAGCAACACATGTTGAATAAAAAGTGATTTTTTATTAAATATCACACTTTCGAGCTTAGATTCTGTCGTGCGATGAAACAGATGAGTCGCTTCAGGATCACACATAAGCTGATGATTCATTCTGTTTTCTGATGAACGGTGTGATGTTTTTTAACAAAGATGACATGAATCATTTATTTTTTTGACACTTTATCTACAACATTAAAAACCTCGAGTTTAGACAAAATAAGAGTCGGACAACATTCCCGTTTGTGCCATGTGTTTCTCCTTCACCCCCCAACACACACCGTCCGTTTCCACTCCAGAGCTTTCTCACTTCTTCATCTCTCCATCTGTTTGTCACCTCTGCTTTCCGTCCTGCATGCCTCCCATCTGTCCTGCATGCCTTCCATCCTCCTGTCGGGGGTCCAGAGCCCCACCAGGGCCGTTCTGTTAAAGATGGCAGTGCAGCGTCGGGGGTCCGGCCACCAGCCCCCCCGGCCCGGCTCTGCCTGTAGCCTCAAACGGAGCCCCCTCGTGGAGGCGGAGCTCTGCGACTTGCGCCCCTCCTCCGCGTGCTCCCGCCCGTCTCCTCTGCCCAGCAAATGGGCAGAGAAGGTAAAGTGAAAGCAGGGAAGGTGAAGGTAGCTGCGACCACGTGGCTGAGCTTTGTGTTGACGCTGATCTGTTTGTGTGTGTTGATTCAGGAGAGAGCGTACCGCAGCCCGGAGAAGAGGTCGTCCCTCCCTCGGCCGGCCAAGTCTCTGACGCGCCACATCCCTGCTGCTGAGCAGGACGACAACAGCACCCCCTCCAGGCCAACCTGTAAGACGACACGCTCAACCTTCCACTTTTACTAATGACTCCTCAATTATTTTATTAAACTCCTGCCACTCTCCACCTCCTGCCTTGCCGCTTTTCTTTACCCTTCGCCTCACTGCTCCTCCCTTTTATTTTTACCTCCTTGTCCTCTTTCCTTCTCCCTCCTCGAAGCGATCCGAACCGAGTCCAGAGCGGAGGGCAGGTCCGGAAGAGCCCCTAGTATGGCAGGTAGAGCACCTGGTAGCTGCTGTTAGAGCCGTCATTCAGAGGGGGTGTACCACGAAGTGAGATGAACGGTTTAGCGAGACGTGCTGCGCCTGAAACTGGTTGATGCACAGCTAACATGCTGCAGGAGGTTGGAGTCAGAGTTTGAGGCGTAAATCAGCTGTAAGAAGCGCCACCTTTCCACTGATAATTTACCTTGAGCGATATAGAAGGAAGACGTTATGTTTGCAAACTTACAGGTGATGCAGAAAATGCATGAATATATTTTAATGCTAATTTGCTGTCAAGTCAGTTTTACATTGCTGGTATTGACGAGTCCATTTTGCTTGACATTTATCACAGAAAATGTTAAATCTGCAGCATTCATTTCACTTAGATTTGGCCAGAAACGAATGTGATCTCCTTCATCATGTGGCAGTTTGAGCCCTAAATGTGCCTCAGCAGGCTCATGGTTAACTGGATGAAGTTTAATAGCTCCTTATAGCCTGTCCCTCTTGGCTAAAGCTGGTGGCATCCAGTCGATCCATTTCATGTGGTGAACTCACATATTAAACACCCCCTTAAGGCGTATATACAGCCTGATAGAGAAAACTGAACAACCACATTCATGATTATCTCTGATTTGAGTTTCAGGTTTTGTTAAGCCAGGCTTACTCCAACTAATCCTGGCTAAGTCAAACTTGCCTCGTGGTACACCCCTTCTGGTTATTAGTAGACAGTGTTTTGATTTTTCGTAGCTCCAAGATAAGGACTGCATTGAAGTGAGCATCATCCATTAGTTTCATTTTTCTGAAGAGCGTCTGCAGATTTCGACAAAGTCTTAAAATCTTAAGTTTCAATATGCAAAAAATGATTAATTTGATGTATGTGCTCTTCTCAAAAACCATTATTCTCCAGGTTTTCCATTTTCTGCCCACTGACAGTTAATTAACGTTAATTATCCAATCAGAAAAATGTCATTTATGTAGTTTCCATGCTTTCCCACATCAGTGTAATTGAGTGTTTTTGGCTTCGTCAAACCTGCAGTTGCCTCATCAGAGGAACAGGTGGGATCCATAACAATAGTTTCCTGTTCAGCACCTGGCCGACTAACATCGTCCCGCTCCGGTAACCCGGCAACAAGCCGCCAGCAGCTAATTAAGCCTTTGTGTGCTTTCGTGCTCCTCGTCAAACATTCTTGTTTGACCGGGCTTGTTTGTTTTGTGGAAACAAATTTAACACCCAAGCGGGCAGCACTCGTAGTTCCATGCGTGTTGTGTTTCACCATCATCTTCATCATCATCATCATCAGAACCAGATGAAGGATGAAACAGTCAAATCTAATGTTTTCTCTCTCTGCCTTTTTCTCTGTGTCCGAGGTGTTTCTGTCTCCAGGAAGAGTTCTTTCTTACTGTTTGTTCTTTAGCGTGTTTCACGACCCAACAATGTGTCTCCGTGTCTTAAGGTACAGACTCGGCCCGCTCCCGGTCGGTGCGTAGCGGCGCCTCCACCCCGGGCTCCTCCGCCGTCACACCCGGCACGCCCCCCAGCTACTCCTGCCGCACCCCGGGCTCACGCACGCCCGGCAGCCACACGCCCAAGTCCTTCAGCGTCCTCCAGGAGAAGAAGGTGGCGGTGATCCGGACCCCGCCCAAGTCGCCGTCCTCCGCCCAGCGGCAGCTGAAGGTCCTCAATCAGCCCCTGCCCGACCTGAAGAATGTAAAGTCCAAGATCGGGTCCACCTCCAACCTCAAACATCAGCCGAAAGGCGGACAGGTAACGGGACAGTGCTGGAACATGATAGTCAGGAAGTTATGTGTTGAATCAAACAGAAATTTAAAAGATAATTATTTTTACACATGAGGAGCATTTGAACAGAAAAAAGGGCAGTTTTTAAAATTAAAAAAAAGAAGTAATGCTTTTGTTGCTCTTGTGGAAAATCTTGTAAACATACGTCTACATAATTTACATTAAACAGAGAAAAAACTTTCTGTTGAGAGATTTACACACTTAACTGGAATTATGTTAATATTTCTCAGTAATAAAGTCATGAAACAGGAATCAAATTCTGCCACATGGGGGCAGTAAGTCCTAAATATCTAAATATTAGGTTTTATTTTTTTATTATAGCCCCTCTCTACGTCTCACTGCCAGCCAGGACTTATAATATTAATGCATTCAACTTACAATAAAATAATTTCTTTAATATATTTTTCTTTGATTCATCTAATCTACATAAAATAAACATTTATATAAAAACATAGCCTGGTAATAGTAGGATCCTGTCAATGGAATCCTTGGATTTGTTGGGTTTTCATGTATGTTTACACAACTTCAGTTCAACATTAATCTATTAATGCTGTAGGGTCTGAGCCCAAATACTTAAATTAGTTTAATTAATAATACAGAAGGCTCTTAGCTGGATTATTACACAAGTCAGATAAGTTTTGGTACTGTAGGGTCTCAGCCTTAAGATTATTTTTTTACAGTTTTATTCTCTGATATGTAAATTACTGAGGTAAAATCACACCATAAATAACACTAAATCCAATATTTAATCTTTAAGCCGAGATAGCAATGTTTAAAACGTGCTGTATTCAAAAAACAGACTTGACAAATTTAAAAAATGAACTATTTGAGCTGTGCTACGTGTAAATCCGTCACTATTCATACAATGTGCAGTTAAAGATCAGAAAACGTGTGTTTGATTTCTGCTCCGAGCGTCTTCAGCCGGCCTGATTTAGCTTCCAAGCTCCGTCGCCTGACGTTGCTCCTCGTAGATCTGCTTTGCAAAGTCGGAACATCAGCTTCTGTAAAAGCAGCTTTTAAACATGTCTCTTCCTCTCCTCCTTGGTCTCCCTCTGAGCGGTAGAAAATGTCACAAACTGCTGAAACCTCTCTCCTCATATGTTCACTCTCACTCACTGCCTGGAAACCTCTGCCGTGCCGTCACTGTGCGTCTGCTTCCTCCCGACTGTCCTCTGCCCTCTCCCCTGTCTGCTGTCATCTCCGTCAGTGTGGGTGAAGCGTCATCGCCTGCCTCCGGCCTCTTCCCCTGACCGTCTTCCTTCTCCTTACCTTTTTTATTTTTCTTCCTCCCAAATTTCTCCCCCGTTGAAGGAGCTTCTTCAGAGTCTTGTGCCCTGCGGAGCTGCTTTCGTCACGTCGGGTTCTCCCCTCTGGCTCTGGGTATAGATAATTACAAGCGGGCAGAATTCCTTTTTCTTTTATATTTTTAGGTTTTTGTCCCCAACAGGAGCCGGCTTTAGCAGGTTGAGGATGAAAAATTTAAGCAGAAGACAGCAAAAGCAGTTTGAGGAGTTATATCTTAACTGAGACTAAATATCCTCACAGAAAAGTACAAAAAGAAGAAGAGTGCTAGGATGATGCACACAAGAGTCCTCTCATCTCTCAACAGATGACGAATAGCGTGTGAATTCTTAATCACATTACCAAGGCAACGCACGGTCCTAATGTTCCCGCAGTGTTGCGGAGGTGAGACTTTTCATTAACCCCGGTGATGTATGGAGGACGGGGGCGAGTAAATTCACCGGCTCCCTTCTCCTCTTTGGGGAGCACGAGGGCAGAAAGCTTTAATGAAGCCGGGTGACGCACATGGAGATTTGGCATTCAGGAAAATAAATATATTTTAAAATGACTTTTCATAGTTAGTTTCACTTTTTAGGCCTCATTCTTGTCTTGTTATGTTAGATTCAACATCCAAAAACGCATTTTTTGTGCACAAAATTCGACTTTTTTGGGGCAAAATTCTGCTCACAGCTGCAAATACTCCCCAATTAATCGACGAGTTTATCGTTTTTATCTTTCAGTTGATTGTGCGAGTCATGCCAGTGCCAAATATTTGATGTTTCCAGCTGCTCAAATGTGAAAATTTGCACATTTTTCTGTTATTTTTTGGATTTTGCATGCAAATTATTTAACTGATTGACAAATAAAATAATTGCCACATTAATCAATAATGAAAATAACCATTAGTTGCAGCTTTAAATATTCCGTTGTTGTGCTAATTTTCTCTGCCAAGTCTTTTAAAATATTTAAATCAAGCTTCTGTACAGTGCATAATATGGGGCTGCCACTAATCGTTTAAATTATATTTTTATTATTAATATCTGTCACGTATTTTTCTGCATTTATCAGCTTATTGTTTAGTCCATAAAATGCTATAAAATTGTGAAAAATATTTGAAATATTCATGGAGCTTATTTTGACGGTCAGTATTTTTTTAAAAATCCAAATATATTAAGTTTAATATCATACAAGAGGGGGGAAGATGGCAAATATTCACATTTTAGCAGCTGGAAGCAGTGAATTTAGGTGTTTTTGGTTAATTATTAAAATAGTCGCCAGTCTATTTTTGTCGCCTGTCGAATAAATGTTTCACCTCCTGGTCAAATTTAAAAATAAAAACACAGCACGCTGTAGTTGGATGAGACCGTTCATGTGCTTTGTCATTGATTTGACCTTGCAGCTGTCTGTGCTGCTCCACTACTAGAAGGAATCAAACAGTGTAGGAGCATAAAATAACCAAAAACAAGCATCAGAACAACGTTTGTGTCCACGTGTGCAGGTGAAAGGATGAATCCAGGTCGTTAACCAGAGATGGAGGCTGTCGTGGATGTTGTTTTCCCTGATCCCCCTACCTCACGTCCCTCCTTTACCTCTAATCCTTCACTTTGGCCATTTGAAGAACACCTTTTTCTTCAGATTTTTATTTTACAAACAGCACAAAAAGGTGCACAAGGCAGAAACACTCTCATTGGTCGTGTTAAACCCCATTTTCTGAACGTTAATTACATCATTTTACTGACTCGAATATCGCATAATAATCATATTTCTTAATATATCCCTGTCTTTATGGGTTTTTTCCCCCCAATTTGACCCTATTGACACGTTTTTTCTTTTCAATTTGCAGCTCTAGACTTGTCATTACCACCTCAGTGACCTCATGAGCTTCTTCCGTTGAGCTTTAACTTGGCCTCTGAGGATGTTTCTGCCTCCAGAGCAGCTCTGAGCCGTATCCTAATAACCTAAACTTAAGTGTGTCTACATAAGAGAACCCAAGGATGTGTTTTTCCCCTCGCACCTGCCCTCAGGCTCAATTCCTGCCGCCTGTTTCCACCACAGCTGTTTACAGGTGGGAAGCCAGTGAGGGATCTTCATCGCTGCTCCTATTGGTTGTTTGGGGTTCCTGCACTTTCTCCGTGTGTCCTGTATCAAAAGGGAAATTGGACATTTCTAAAAAAGAGTTCTATGAACCAGGCGTGTTTCCTGTTAATGTGGGTGTTGTGCTAACTTTGCACTTTTTACCTCCAGTGTAGAGATTCAGGGGAAATGGTGTTAGCAGCCAGCGATTAGCATGAGCTTTCCAGAGAGAGAAAATTATTGCATAAATCATTTTAAATGCTTCTTTTCAGTGACGCTGAAAGTAAATACAGAAATTAGCCATCTGATGTGGACTTTTTCTTAACTGTGTTTTGATTACGGGGAGATAAAACGCTATCTTTAGCACAAGAAAGTTTTTAAAATGAGATGTAGTTCGACAGTCTGGCATCAACTGGTGCCACTCTTGGAGGTAATGATTTTCCTCCTGATGGTGAGTTAATGCTTTCTGCAGCCATTGCATACTTTAAATACTGGACAGTTGGTTCTGTTCATACTGCATCGGAAATACACATAAGGCTTTCGTAGATGTTTCTAAAAGTCTTGGAATTTGCACTTTTTATGGGATAGTAGCTGGTTAAAGATGCTGCTGTAGCCCTGTGCCAATGTGGATATTCCTGCACAGGTTTCCTGGAGAAAATAGGACTTCATGAAGGCTCCATTGATTAAAGCATGTACCGTAATTTCCGGACTATGAGCGCACCTGAATATAAGCTGCACCCACTAGCTTTAAAAAGAAGAAAAAAAATTGTACATATATAAACTGCAGGTGTCTACGTTCCAACATGAGATATTTACAGATTTTTTAAACTTTTAATTAAATACATTCCGCTAGCATACACAAATGCTTTTTTCTGAACAGAGCCTGTAACACGGCTGGTTAAGAAAATAAAAACTACAGTCGCCTACCAGGAAAAGTCACTGATTGCTATCTTCATCTTCCTCTTGCGCACTAAAACCACTAAAGTCGTCTTCTTCAGCGTCGGAATTGAACAGAATGACTTTGTCACACACTTCCTCAGTCTCTCTGTCATTGGTTAAGCCGCCGTGTTCAAAGCGTGTGAAAAAAAGAAGCGGCTTATAGTCCGAAAATTACGGTAATTCTTTTAAAAATGAATTATATGAATTACCCATTAGGTGGCAGCAGAGTGGTATGCGCAGGATTACCACGAGTTTCCAGTTGTTTTTTTAGGATGCTCGTAAACAAATCAACATACGCAGATAAATATGCCACCGATTAAGTTAGCTAGCAAGTGACCCTTCATGGAAATCCCCAACACTGTTAGCAAAACGTCCACTAATAATAATAATGTTTAAATTGGTGAAAATCTTTAAAAACGTGCAGCTAAATTGCGAACCACAAGCTGCATTGTGTGACCTCTTTTCCCCCAAACCTCTACAGCAAAGTGTAAAAGTGCTAGCTTAGCATGGACACAGTAGCCCCGCCCCCGACCCTCAGAGCTCCACAGGTCTGCACGAAGAAAAGCTTAAACACATGTTAACCGTAAATGCATGTGAGCACACATTGATCCCTCATTGCACACTTTTGACTTTTGTAACCGAGGCACATATAGTGTTTTTTTTTTTTTTGCTTTCTTTTGTTATGCGATTTTATTTTAGGTTCACATTTTAACCGAGAAGCTGGACTTCAGTCATGTTCAGTCAAAGTGCGGCTCCAAGGATAATCTGAAGCACTCGCCCAAAGGAGGCAATGTATGTACGCCTTTTTCTCTCTTTCTTCTATCTTTCTCTTTCCAGCCGGGGCTTTTTGTTAGCGCTCCGCCGTGCTACTTTGTCCATCTGTCTACCCATGTGTTTGTCTGCCATCGGCTTGTTTCAGGCAAGCCAAAGAAGACGTTTTCTTCCCAATGCATCCACGTATTTGTCAGTAAAGGAGTATTGTTATTCTGCCACTTACAGTTTAAACGGTGTTATCATTTATTTATTGTGTTGTAGTTCAAATCGTGGATGGATTACAGCACTAGAAGAGCCTTTATCGCTGCATAAACTCCATCAGTAGTTTGTTTTCTGTGATCTGACTCTAGTGCTGTAGTGTTAAAAAAAGAGAGCGCTCACAGGCTCGATAGGTCACGGGTGTAAAATTGGGACGCTTTTACAGGATTATTTTTTAAAGGGAGGAGGAGACGGGGCCACATTTCCAAACCCCGCACTTCTCTCTCCAGTCTGAGACCTCTTCACTGTTTGCTTTGTGTAAAAAAGAAAACAACAATCTGTCATTCCCAGGTCATGATCCCAAGTGTTAAGCTGGACTTTAGCCACGTTCAGTCTAAATGTGGCTCCCTGGACAAAATCCAGCACACAGCAGGCGGGGGACACGTGAGTTGACTTTGCAGAAAATTCAATTCTCCATCTTTCATCACTGGTGTGTGTTGACTGGAGTGTTTTCATCTTTAATTTTGCGCCTACATGCATTCGCACCATAAACACACACTCGACTAGCGCACAGCTTCTCTGCAGAGTGTGTCACATTCCCAACAGAAACATCCCTTTACAGCTTATTGTTGCACTCATTCACATCACGCACAATAAAGTTTAATTGAAGCACCTGCTCCCTGTAGCGTCACGTAGCGCCCGTGTTGTCTGCGGTCGCTTCCATGTTAACCTCTCTCCAGGGACCTGGCATCAGCATCTCTGTGGCTCTGAAGCGGCGTCGATCGACTGCCTTCGTCCACAGATTCATGTTGTGTCGTCCATTTCCTCCAGCTCTCTTCACCCCATTTCATGTTTCTGACTTTGTAGCTTACATCCCTTCAAGATCAAATCATTTTCATCTTTTTTATTCGAGTAAACAGGAGCTAATTTGTGCACTGTGCTGCCGCCCACAGGTCCAAATCCAGACCAAGAAGATCGACTTGAGCCACGTCACCGCCAAATGTGGCTCCATGTCCAACATCCGTCACAGACCAGGTACTGTACAGATTGTTTTACCAGACTTTTGAAGGATTCTCTTGGAAAAAGCTGGTTTTTAGCTCACAGTGCAACACTAGTTGAATTCAATTTTATTAACACAGCGCCACTTCACAACTGTCACCTCATAGCACCTCACATTGTAAGATGAAGACCTTTAGAAATGTAAACAAAGAACAGAGAACCCAATAATTCAAAATGACCTTTGGATTTCCTATGAGCAAGCAGACGGCGATGGGAAGGAACCAAAACAAAAAAAACCTCCAACAGAACCAGGCTCAGGGAGGGCAGCCATCTGCCTCGTCCAGTCGGGGTGATTTAGAGGCATCTGTCAGCAGAAATGGAAAATAATGTTCAGAATTATGTGTACGTTTGTGTTACATAAGGATTGTGACCCATCTGCACGAAATCAGCGGGATTGCTCCTTGGGCTACATCCGACATAAAGCCTGAATTATGCATGAGAAAATATTGATTTTGGGTTTATTACTGAGATCGGTCCATTTATGTTGTGTACATATAATATTATGCTCCATATCGCTGTCAAATACCGTCAGCGTGCATGAGCGGTAACACCAGACAGAAGTCGCGGAAATCACTTGTGCACAAGATTGTCATGACCAGCCAATCCTGTCCTGGGATTTGCGTCAGGTGGTCGCAACATGCCATCCATCCATCCATCCATCCATCCATCCATCCATCCATCCATCCATCCATCCATCCCTCCATCCCTCCCTCCCTCGTGCAGATGGGTCACAATTGTGCTTTTCTTGCCTCAGAATGAGTCCTTTGCAACAACTGAGGAAGCAGTGTTTCTGTTGCTATAACAACAATTTCCCTGAGGCACCCTACCAAAGAGATCGATAAAGTTCTGTCTAATCTAATTTAATCTAACTAGCGTGCTACTAGAATAGCTCAGAACTTGCTGTGTTTCCAGATAATTATCAAGAAAATGTGAACTTTTGAAATGTTGTGGAAAAAAATTTTTAAAAAGAAAATGCAACTCAAGCTTTTTATTAGTTGCTTTTGAGCAAATAAATTAGTGCTGTCAGAAGATGTAAACAAAGCTGAAAACAAAACCAGTTATTTGCCAACTGCTAAAAAAGCTCAACCAGCTTATTTGGAAAAGGTGTCTCCATCTCCAAGTGTACGCAAAAATCAAAAACCACTATTTTTACCAGCTTCTGCTGCACTGTGAGGCGAGGGATGTTGCAGTTCACAACCTCACCACTAGAGGCTGCTAAACGCTACACACTGGTCCTTTAATATGTCGCTGGAAGCAAGCAAATCGATTTAATACAGATGAAAGATGGATGCATTTACTGATTTTGAGCCATAATGTGATCGATTTATCAATTTTTACATCCTTAAGTAATAAAAACAAACAATATGTTGCATAAAGTTTGTTCTGATGTCGCCTTATTTATATACTAATGAACATATCTTGTCTGTGTTGTTCGTTTATGTCCATTCCAACCATGTGTGTTCAGTATTAAACGGCTATTGGTGCTGTTTCTTGTCCTGAGATTCTTTGCCCTGAGCGTTGCCCATGGAGAAGAGCGATCCTTCAGGGGAGTGTGTCCTCATGGGTCTGACTCTTTTTCTTCTCCTCCTTGCTGTCGCCTTCCCAGGAGGCGGCCATGTGCGCATCGAGAATGTGAAGCTGGACTTTAAAGAGAAGGCCCAACCCAAGATCGGCTCCCTGGACAACACCAGCCACACTCCTGGAGGGGGGAACGTGATGGTAAAACAAACAAAAAAAAAAGACTTAAATATCAAATGTCACTGCCTGTTTGTGTAAATCTATAAAAGGAGGAAGCATCTCTGACCTGAAAAGTCTTCTCACCAGATCGAGAGCCACAAGCTGAGCTTCCGGGAATCGGCGAAAGCTCGGGTGGACCACGGCGCGGAAATCGTCGTCACCCACTCCCCGGGCATCGAGACGGGGGGCACCTCTCCTCGGCTGTCCTCCGCCGGCAGCATCAACCTCCTGGAGTCGCCTCAGCTCTCCACGCTGGCCCAGGACGTCACCGCCGCCCTGGCCAAGCAGGGCTTATGAGCTAGCTGCCTCGGATACCACTCATTAAAAAAAACAAAAAAAAGAAAAGAAAAACAAAATCCACACTCCTCTTCCCATCATTCACTCATCCAGTGTTGTCCCAAGGTCTTTCACTGCTACATCACCCCCCAACACTCACACACACTTCACCCCACAGGTTGTAGTTGATTGACCATCTCGTCCGTCAACAATCCTTCCAGCCCTTTCCGGTGGGTTTTTAAAAACTGAATTCTTCAACAACAAAAAAATCCTCCCTGAAAAAAAACAAAGGGGGCTGTCCGTTTTTATTTTGGTTTTTTCAAATATGGACTGTTTGTTTTAGCCGAACGGTTCGAGTGATTGTCTGAAGAAGGCAGTTTGACGATTGTACAGTGACTTTTATTTGTTCTGTGTGTGTGTAATAACGGCATCACGAGGGTTAGAACTTCGAGGCGAACTCACGCGTCCGTTCAGAATTTACGCGGTACTGAATGCAAGACGTAGCAGCTAGACGGTCTTACGGATACGACGGCGTGTCGTCGACCTGCAAACGTACGGCTGATGAGCATGTCTGCTAAAATGTGACATTTCAAGTCAAACATGAGGTTTTTTTTTCTTCTTAATCTTATGATTTCCTGATATGTGCTGAATCAAACTGTGTTCTCTTGTTTTCTTTTTATATATATAAATATATATATATAAATATATATGTCACCGTAGTGGAAGTCGTTCCGGTTTTGTACGTTTCCTGTGGCTGCTCTGGCTTATTAGCATTTAAATGTGGATAACCATTGCAGTTCTGTCGAGTCAAGCGCTAAAAAGGCTAGCTTTCCAATAGATTTTCTTTTTCTTTTTTTCCCGCGAACCAATCGGCTGCTCTGTTTCTGTTTTTAGCTCTGTGGTTTTATTAGGTTACAACGATGCTGTTATGCTGGCATGGCAAATAAATGATAAATAAATTAGATATATTTGGAGCAGTCTTTTCAGTGTGAGTGCAAACGGCCAGTGGGGGCCAAACAACAAAAAAAAAAGCCCCGCGACCTTTCACCTTTTTGCAAAGACTCGGTTGTACAATTTATTTGATTGGGTTTTAAAAAAGGGCCCAAAGATTGTTTTAAAAAAAGTGTAAAAAGTATGAAGCTTTGTATGAAAACATTCCATTTGAGAGAGCAGCTACGTGGCCCTTTTGTGTGATCGAGCCGGATTACGTGGCTGGTTTTTTTTTGGATCGTTGCAGGAAACTTTAAAATAAAAAAAAATAAAAAAAGACGACGATGAGATGGGAGTAACCCATTTAAAAAAAAAAACAAAAAAAAAACTGATCTAGCATATTCTCTGCTCACCATTGTGAATCTCTTCTACCCTTCCTCCCCCTCTTTTCCTCCTGCCCTGATGTCAGCTTGCCCCTCCAGTGTTTTTCTGTGCTTCCTCTCTTCCGGCCTCCCTCTTTGCCTGTGTAAGTGTATTTAAAAGATCCATGTAGATGTGTGCACACTTTCCGATGTTTGAGACGTACTGATGACAAATGCTCCTACAGGATGATGACGACAAAAATAAAGAAAATAAAAACTGGTTCGCTTTGGTCTGTTTTTTTTCCCCACAGAAAACTCATTTCTGCAGTACAATATGCTGCCATGTGTGCATGCTTGGTCTGTTTTTAATCTCTCATTTGTTTGTCCTTTTATTTTAAATGTGTTTTTAACATGAGAGCAAATGTCAGGAGTCTGGAGGTTATCACTCATTTGCTGACATGCAGTTTTAATCACTGCAGTGTTGCTGGAGGGGAATTAATCAATATACTAATGTTTTATAATGAGGATTGTCAATATCTGACCATCAAACTGAATTTTCATGCATTCTGGCAAAATGTTATGCACCAATTTGCATCTTTTCTGCATTGATTTATGTTGACAAAGTCTTAATGTAAAGTTAAAAATGAATAAATTAGGCTTTATGAGTAAATGTAAATATTAAACAGGACATTAATTAAATGAGTCTGGTTAAACTGTGAGGTTATTTTATGTAAATTTGTATTTTGTGAAGAGTATTTAGCTTGTTAGCTTACAAAAAGCTATCTGTTTCATTTGGGCGGGAACAAGCACAGACTCTGTTATGCTAACTGGTAAATAGCGTCCAGAAATTATATTTTGTGTAGATTAAGGTGACATGAAAAGTGTGTAAATTACTGAGCATTACAAAAAAAATAAAAAAAACATGGCAAGGTATTTTTTTTAAATACATTTTTGTCAGAGCTAGCTGACCAATAGCTCTTTCTGCTAAGCTAATGTTCGTTAGATGCTACCTGTGCTAGCTTTACCTTTATTTAAAGCTAACTTAATAAACAGACATAAGTGGTTTTTAATTCTTTAACATAATTCAGAGATAAAGCTCATAACACCAGCCATGTTGACTGTCATAATTGCTAAACCTAACTTTATTGTTGCTAGCTGAGGTTCAGGTGTCCTAGCTTAGCTTGCTCTCCTTGCTGTTTTGTTTGTTTGTTTGTTTGTTTGTTTGCCAAAACACCAATGATTCTTTCATTCATCATTTCCTGTATGTTTATAAACATAATGAGTGCTCAAATCTCAATATTTACATGAAGAATTGCGATAGTTATTTATAATAGTGGCTGTTTTAAGTTGTAGAAGCTAATTAGCATTAGCCTATTTGTAGCATAATTTGCTGGCTTGCTTGGGGAAAAAAAGAAGCCTGCTGCATATAAATCTTCAAGAGAAAGCATGCTTTGCAAAATCAAACTGTATATTTCCACACTGCTGGTACTATATACTGTTCATAATAAGTATATATTTATATATATTAGCACATGCATGCTAACCTTAAAGCTATTATAGACATTTTCATTGCATTGCACTTGTTTCCAGGGTCAGATGCTAAACTGTGCTGCTTTAGTGCTCTGCTCTCTGATCCAATCTAATCTATATTAAATTAACCAGATGCATATGAAGTAATCAAATTGGCTCCACCTTGATCCATATCAATAATTTATCCATATGTGTGTGACATTACATTCTGGAAACCATCTGAACGCTTATTTCCTGCCTATTCCAGTTCAGCACCTGGTTTATTTAGACTACCTGTTGATATTCAAATGGGGGGAGGGAAAGGAGGATTATGTGAACGCACAATCCGGATCCGATTCGTTTTGGGGGGGGGTTATTTACACACATGTGCACCGCCATAGCGACGCGCACATTCGGGGCTTCGACACATCTGGGCGGCACACTGCGTCTTTAAGCTCCGCCAAATTAGCACCGCTGATCAAACTGTCGCTGTCCGGTGAGGGAGGTGCTGAAATCAGGAACGCGCTCCCTCTCTCCTTCTCCCCCCCTCCATCCATCCATCCATCCCCCCTTCTCTCTCTCTCTCTTTTCTCTCTCTCTCTCTCTCTGTCTGTTGCCGCCGACCGATCGACACTTGCAGCCATTTTACGCAGGACGAACCCAATCATGTCGTGAACGGAGCCTCCGCCGGTCACCTGGGCAGAGCCGAGCAGCCGGTGGTCGCACACAGGCAGGCGAGGAGGAGGCAGGAGGAGGAGGAGGAGGAGGAGGAGGTCCGGCCAAAATGGTGAAGAGGAAAAGCCTGGACGACAACGAGCCGGAGTGCGGGAAGGGAATACCGTTCCCCATCCAGACCTTCCTGTGGAGGCAAACCAGGTTAGTGATAACAGGTGTTGGTCAGCTGTGTGATCCCAACATGCGTCAAAAACAGACAGAATGAGGCTTTTATTATTATTATTATTATTATTTGCTAAGGTGTGAATGGATGTCACACCTGTAAAGCAAGAAAGTGGGCCAAATAAACACGAGTGGATGACTGCAGAGATTTTTTTATTTTTCTTAATCTCATGTTAATATTTCCTCCCTTCAGTGCATTTCTGCGTCCGAAGTTGGGCAAACAGTATGAAGCATCTTGCGTGGTAAGTCATTTCATAAATGCCATGTGCGTGATGAGCGCTTCCCACTAATCTCTTTTTACCTTAATGCACCTGCAAATCAAGTGAGCTCTTGATTTTACATTTGGCAAATTAGTTTTTCCCTCCTCCTCCTCCCCTCCTTTTGCTTCCTCCCATTACCCAAGAGCTAGACCTTTCATATCCATAATGACGCCTCTCCAGATCCCTTTGGATCCAAACAGAGCTGCCACTGTCTCTCCCACAGGCATCGCCTTGCTTGAGGCCATGTGGGACATTTAGATAGTCAAAGAAAGAGGCTTCAGTTCCCCCTCGCCTGACGTCTCTCTCTTCTCTCTCTGGCTGCGTCCCCAGTCTTTCGAGCGGGTGCTGGTGGAGAACAAGCTCCACGGGCTGTCGCCGGCCCTGTCGGAGGCCATCCAGAGCATCTCCCGCTGGGAGCTGGTCCAGGCGGCCTTGCCTCATGTGCTCCACTGCACCTCCATCCTGCTGTCGAACAGGAACAAGCTGGGTGAGGACACGTTTCAGCGCCGCTCCGAGCAATCGGGGTGACAGCCTCAAGCGGGTTGTCCTCTTTGGAGCTGATTGTTCTTCCAGTTTGACTTGGGAGCGCATCGACAAAAGGGAAATGTGTTCTTCTTATCTTAGCAGCTCAAACTGTAAAAGCTCAAATGTAAAGACAAGAATTAGACACATGGTTATTGATTCGTCTGCTGATTGTTTTCTCAGCCGATCGATTCTTTCGCGTGTAAAATGTCCAAAAAAACAAACAAAATACTGCAACACATGAACCAAAACGGACAAAAATCTTCAGTTTCAGAGCAGACAAGACAACAAAAAGCAGCAAATCTTTGTATCCTCGCAGCTAGAACCCGGCAGTGTCGTAGCTTTCTAGGAAATTTCCAAGGTGCTAGATCTTTAATAATACTGTTCGAGGCCATGTGATGCTTTAACTCGAGAGCCACTATCCTGCATGTTTCCCCTCTTCCAACACACCTGATTCACATGATCAGGATCGTTATCAGGCTTCTGCAGAGCTTGATGATGATCATTTGAATCAGGTGTGTTGGAAGAGGGGAACATCTAAAACATGCTGGATACTCGAGGACCAGGATTGGACACCCCTGGTATAAAGGGCCAAAAACGAGCTGTTCATTCATCACCTAAATGAGCAACACTCAGCGTTAACCCTCCTGTTAATTAGTTAATGTTGAGTACTGCTTGATCCGACCTTGAACCCTAAACGAAGCACCATTAACCCCTCGACCTTTAACCCCCCGTGCACAGGCCACCAGGACAAGCTGGGCGTGGCCGAGACCAAGCTGCTCCACACGCTCCACTGGATGCTGCTGGAGGCCGCCCAGGAGTGCAACCACGAGCCCAGCCTGGGCCACGGGTGGTCGGCCGGCAGCAGCAGCAGCGCCTTCCTGCAGCCCGTCGGGAACCAGGGCTCCTCCCCGGGAGCTCCGGGCTCCTGCTCCGGCTCGGCCCTGGGCGGCTCGGGGCCCCAGCACAGCGGCTCCCTGCTGGAGGAGGACGAGCACACTCGCACCAAGCTGTTCCACAAGAGCATGGCCACGGTGGAGCTGTTCGTGTTCCTGTTTGCGCCGCTCATCCACCGGATTAAGGTCCGTACCCGCTCATACAGAACAACTGAGCCGTGCGTTTGTGAAAGATGTTTGAGCATCTGCAAAAAGAACAATATATTGACGGGCAGGGAACCGATACCAAACCCTCCACCAGCTCCCCAACGCCTATTGATCTGTGTGTACAACGGCTCAGGTTACAGTACTCCGGGGATTGTTCTGTGTTTCCCAATTATTGTGGCTCCCGAGTGACAGTGTTGCAATTTGCTTCTTGTTTTGACCCTTGCTGTCGATTCAGGAGTCGGACCTGACCTTCCGACTGGCCAGCGGTCTGGTGATATGGCAGCCGATGTGGGAGCACCGGCAGCCTGACATCCCGGCCTTCACTGCCCTCATCAAGCCCGTCAGAAACATCGTGACAGGTAAAGAGAAATAACACTCTACAGCTCTGTTATTTTTATTTGCTCGTAATTAAGGCGTGTAATCTGTCTCAACAGCCAAGAGGAACTCCCCAGTCAACAACCAGTGCAGCCCCTGTGGGTCTGGCAACCCGGGCCCCATGGTGAGTTTTTAGCTCCGATCTGTTCAGATTTTGCCTCCCATGTTGATTGTGTTGAGGCTTCTTCCCCTCCTCTTTTCAATGTTCCCTCAGGGGACGGCTGCTAATATTCATTAGCCGTTCAGGAGCCTGGTTAGCCGGGTGGGGGGGGGGAGGTCGTGGCAGAAACCTCTGTTTATCTACCGATCTGCGCTATCTGTCCATCTCACAGGGCTTCCAGGTGGTTTGCGAAGCCGCCCAATCGGGCTCCTCCTCCCCCGCCGCCGGAGAGCAGAGCTGTCGTCGTGGTAACTCGATCGAGAAAGGCGGCCCTTCCCAACAACCCCCAGCGGTCAAAGGCCCCTCCAAGAAAAAGTGAGCACTCGTATTCAATTGCCACTCAGGGTAGTTAGCCTTGTTGATTTCTGATTTGTTGTGCTGAAGCATCCATTGTATTGAAGAGTGAGTTTCTTCTAACCAAAGAGATCAAAATAATCCACATGATTTCAATTAATTGCACCACAAACACAATTTGAAACGCACAGAAGTCAAATCATGCATCATTTGTGCAGCATCTTAGTGATCAACATATGATTTTTACTGCACACACTGCTTCCATAAATGAATAATTATTAAGCCAAGAAGCCAGCCGTGTGTTGAAGCAGTGCACAAGTGCAGTGATTTACAAGTGACCCGCACTGACACGGAGCCGGTGCCATCGTCTTGTTGACGGCTAAACATTTAGCCCTGCGGCACCGTCTGTCCAACACACTGCACGGCACAGCTCGCTCCACTAGCTCGCGAGGAGCTATATGAATAGCTCCTCCTTCCCCTGTGTAATGTGTTGCTCTGAGCAGTACCACACACACACACACACATTCAGAGCCCTCTTGTCTTGCTTCAGCATTTACAGACTCGTCTGACATTTGCCCACATAACCAGGGTAATTATGCGGAAGTAATGTGCTACATGTCTAATGCTGGCAGTGTCCCTGGCCTGGCGTGACACGGCCCGGCTTGATTTGGTCTGCCGACGGCAAGTCTGGCGTTGTCCTGCCAGGCTAAAGCTCAATCTGTTTGGCACGAACGGGGCACGTTTGACTCGCTGGGAGTCTGATTTTGTCAGTTTTGGTTAACTGAAAGCAGGCAAGCGTAGATGAAAATGACATCTTAAAGTTAAACCGGTTGAAAGATGCAGAGCGTCACCGGTTGGACACATTTGCTTCCTGTGCATGTGGGTGTTTATTGTTTGAAAGTTAATCCGTCGTCATCCTGAATCACCCGACCGGTGGGCTGAGAGAACGTTGAGAGGTTCACGAGCCATCCCAACTCACTCTGACAACCGAACGAGTCACTCCGACGCTCCTCCTGATCCCTCTGACAGCCAGCAACCGACTGAGAATCAAAATAAGCCTGAGACCCCTCCTCCACTTCCTCCCTCTCTCCCCCCCAAGCCAGTTACATCCTCACACACCCAAGCACCCAAGGGTTTTTGAGCAGTCACATGGCAATGCAGAGAGGAGAGATTTGTCCCTTCTGCACTCAGCAAGATGGATTAATTGCTTTCTTTTTATGTGCTTCATGTGTCTGTGGTGGGGAATTTGAAGATGCTGCGGGGTTGGGCTGACTGCAGGATTGGAGGAGAAGTGAGCTGAATGTGAATTAATCATGCAGCAAGGGAGATTTTTTTCTGACATTTGAAGGGGTTTGAAGTTGAAGCTGTTCACGTATTGATCGGCGAAGAGACGAGGCTGCAGAACTGGCTCACACCAGCGGGTTTCAGTCCAATAATCAAATTAAAATAGCCTCGGAATTCAATTAGTTCGCTCACGTCATCTCCCAGTTTATATCAGCTCCTCAACCTCCCGCACACACACACACCTCTGCGAGCGGATAAGATCACATCCGGCGTCGGTTCCTGTGATTAATGCAGCTTACTCATCCCGTGGCACCGCAAAACCCCGCCGCCTCTCCGAGCGCTGCTGATGCTGAGGCAGTTTCCATGGCAACCGCTGGCTGGCTGCTGCATCCCTCCTACCGCATGGAGTCGGGGGGCTGGGCCGCTCGCCTCTCTCGGATGGCCCGGGGTGTGCTGTCGTCACTCGGTCTCCGTGGCAACCTGACACAACAGCGGCAGGCAGGAGTGTGTGTCTGTGTGTGTGTGTGTGTGCGCGCCGGCTAGACAGTGAAACATGATACAGCCTCCTTCTGCTGTCCGCTCTCAAAGTGATTCATGTAGGTATCGACCATCTCTTCCTGCTCCATTTATTACGACGGGCAAGATTAAATGCCTCGCTCTGTGCCCCCCCTTCTCTCGCTCTCCCTCTTATGGTATCAATATGTTCCTCCACAGTTTTGCAGCGGTCTATACGCTCTGCAGCTCGCCAAACCGCTGACCTTCATTCCAGCTTATTTATAGTGGACTCACGTAGGCTTAGGCTCCCTCTCTCTCCCTGCTGCTCTCCCGATGATGCTGAAGGGGGGCTCTGCCCTTGTTTACCATCCTCCTTTGATGCATTATTAATGAAGCAGTGTGGCGGGAGTTGATGACAGGCTAATGTAACTGGAGCGGCCACGATATAGTGTAATTGTTGTGTTAACAGTTGGGTGACAGCACATCGGGAAAAAAAACAAACAAAAAAACATGCCGAATGCTCTGGTATGAGTTGCATTTTGGCAATCTTTTCATTATCCTCGATTTGTTCGGCGGCTGGCTATAATGAAGCTGCAGCCTCTTAATTGCTTCTATTCTCTGCCTTAAATCAATTTGTGTCTTTTCCTTCCATCCCTGCCATTTCTCAACCTCTGCTTCCATATCTGCTGTTTTTTTTTCCTCCCTTCATGTCATTTCTTTTCCACTTTTATACACACGTACAGCAGCAATGAGGTACCAGTCATGTCGCCACTGATGTAAAGCGACTTTGAACATCTATTGGAGATATTAGAACGCTAATTTTAATGATTTCAAACTATCCCGGTCTCTCCTTCCAGAACATCCGCCCCCGCCGGCCTGCCGGCGTCTCTGGCCCAGCGAGCGCGCTACGCCACCTACTTCGACGTGGCGGTGCTGCGCTGCCTGCTGCAGCCGCACTGGACCGAGGAGGGCGTGCACTGGGCCCTGATGTACTACCTGCAGCGCCTGAGGCAGATCCTGGAGGAGAGGCCCGAACGCCCCCCGGAGCCGCTGGTCACGCCTCTGCCACGGCCGCGCAGCAGCTCCATGGTGGCCGCGACGCCCTCGTTGGTCAACACCCACAAGACTCAGGTAAAGCAGACGAAATATGCACTTGATTAGTGCTTTTTTTTGGGTACATTTCTACAATTTTGCAGACGCTTTTATCCAAAATGACGTACATCTGAGAGCAGATACAACACAAGCAAGGATCTAGTCAGGAGAGAACAGTCTAGATAAGTGGCATAAGCTTCCAGAAAAACCTCCAGTTAAGGACACAGTCATATTTCTGTGGGTAGGCTGTTTATGCTGCTCTGTTTTTCAGGACATGAGCCTGAAATGTAACGAAGAGGGAAAATCTCTGAGCACCGAGACCTTCGCCAAAGTGTCCCTGACTAACCTCCGTCGACAGGCAGTCCCCGATTTGTCCTCCGACTTGGGCATGAACATCTTCAAGAAGGTCAGATTCTGACATCCAGATGGCCCCTTGAACACACTAATATGTTAATTGTGTTGTGATCAGGTTAAAATCCAATCAGCAGAACGTATTAGATGAGGACGAAAATGACCAAAAAAATTGATTCGTTTCCAGATTTAATTAGCGACAGGATTTGTTTCAGTTTAAGAACCGGCGCGAGGACCGGGAGAGAAAGGGCTCCATCCCCTTCCACCACACGGGAAAGAAGCGCCAGCGTCGCATGGGGGTCCCCTTCCTGCTGCACGAGGACCACCTGGACGTGTCGCCCACCCGCAGCACCTTCTCCTTCGGGAGCTTCTCGGGCCTGGGCGACGACCGGCGGGCTCTGGACCGCGGGGGCTGGCAGGCCACCATCATGGGTAGGCAGAGTGGTTATGTTTGGCAGCCTTGATTCCCCTCCGCTAGGCTTTGGTGAGTCAGAGGATTCAGTCCGGCTGTCAGCTAGTGAATTAGGTCGGTTCATTAACATTGGTATTTGCTGAGAAGTGTGATTAAAATTCGCTCAAGGCCGGAAGACTTTTTTTTTATTACTATCCAGAGTTAGTGACTTTCTAAAGCTTCATTCCCATGAACCTGCTGAACCCTTTAGCTGCTTTAAATGACTTCTTTTTGCACAGTGGCTGTCATAATATATAATTATGAGAAATCCCATCCAGTGTGCAGCTTGTCCAGTTTGCTTTGCTTGATCTTAACTGTCATATTGTTCCAATGGGCTCGACGTCTGTGTGGTTTTTTTGACCTGAAAACGCAGTTATTTGTCGCGTTGCGTTGCAGGCAAATTCACACGGAGAGGCAGCACGGATACAGCTGCCGACGCCGACAGCCTGAGTGCCAAACACTCCCATTCCCACCACTCCCTGCTCCGAGACATGCCCGACCACTCCAACAGCCACAGCGATAACACTGTCAAAGAAGGTAAGGGCGGAAAGCATTTAGTTGGATTGATCTAGTTCAGAGCAAGCCATGACAAAAAAAATAGAGCAAGAAGTTCCAAACGATGCAGCCGGATTTGCAAACTTTCTCATCTCACTGATTTGTCCATTCAATACCCAACAAATCAAAAGAACACCGAGGATGTTACTCAGAGTTGCAGCCATTTTTTCTGACAAAACATCCAGATTACATCCAGCACACATCAGTGACTTATTTCAAAGGTGAAAATAACAGCTCATCCAGAAGGCAGCAGAGTGTAAGAGTAACGCCCCACGAGCGCTTTTCATGAAAACTACATTAAATTAGGCAAATGCTGATCTATTAGCTTACAACAAAGGAGGGACGGAGGCTTCTGGCTCCACTGAGGCCCGCCGAGCAGAGCAGAGCAGAAATAGGACAGCATTACGTAACAGCAGTATTGTTGTGACAATGCTCATTTACACTCGAACAGGAGCTTCGGTCTCAGCTTCACACCGCATGTGTGAAGTTTGGTGAGAAATGATGATAAAATACAAAACAGTGCTGATTCTGACATGATATGTAGAAAAAAAACAGAACTTACATGTGTGCTGCGTACATTTCATGTGAACCTAAAACTGTATGATTGTAGATTTTTTATTTTTTTTGGGTGGATAGAAAAAAAAAAAAGTGCAGAAATCTGATTTGCTGTATTTAGCAGACATGGATGCAGAGATTTGACCAAAACATGTAGCTGGTAAACAAATGTGACACCTAAACTAAAATCTAAGAATTAAATGGCCTTACAAATCTTCTTTTTTTTTTTGTTTTAAGCAAGGTGTACTTAAACCTCAAGTTCTTCTTTATTTCCCAGATTTTGTAACTTGACACTTCATTAAGACTCATATTAATCTTTAAAGCCTCAAACTAAGTACATAAAACATCTAATATTCGCTACAGGAGCAATGTTTGAACATCAAATTTTGTTGTTTTACCTTCAACTTTATTTAGAATATGCACACAGCAAGGTGGAAGCTTTAAAACATTTAAACCAAGAAAATAAAAAAATAGAAAACACGCTGCACAATTCTTCTTTAGTACATTTCTTCATTAACTTAATGTTTTAATTTGTGTTCATGAGGGTGGTGACCATTGAGTTCTAATTTTTGCTCTAAAATGACATTATTTCAGACTTGAATTTGTCTTGGAGTCAGGCAACACACAAAGCACAGAAAATACACAATCAAGGCATATGTGGGAAAGAGAAATAAAAGCCGTCATACAAGCAAATGTTAAGACAGCCAAACATAAAACCTGTAGTGCAGCATTCTCATCATCGAATCTAATCATCAGTGGTTTAAACAATCGTAGACTTCAGGCAGTTTAGGGTTCTCGTACCAATAAAAGATCTGGAGTCGACATAAGACACGACAGAAGCACCACACCATCACCTCTAATCAGCATCTATGAAAACATTCCCTCCTCTGTCGTCTGCAGTTCGATCTCAGATCTCCACCATCACCATGGCGGCGTTCAACACGACGGTGGCGTCCTTCAACGTGGGCTACGCCGACTTCTTCACCGAGCACATGAAGAAGATCTGCAATCCCGTGGCCGTGCCCGAGATCCCCGTGGAGCCGCTGGCCTGCGCCAACCTGCCGCGCAGCCTCACCGACTCCTGCATCAACTACTCCTGTCTGGAGGAAGGGGAGAACATCGAGGGGACCAATAACTTTGTGCTGAAAAATGGCATGTTGGACCTCACCGTGAGTGACTTTACTGATCCCTGATACAGCTGTTAGAACCTGTGGCCTTCTCTGCTGCTTTACTAATCAAAAACAGATCTGATGCCTCCGTTTTTCATAATATCTTGCATATTAAAAATGCAATAAATGTGTTTTGTTGGTTGGACAACACACGATACAGACGATATCTTATCTATTTTTCCTCCCTCCCTCTTGTAATTCAGGCTGTCTTGCGGGCTCTTTACGCCGTCCTCAGCCACGACATCAGCTCCAGGATCTGCGACGTGGCCCTCAACATCATCGACTGCCTGCTGCAGCTGGGCGTGGTGCCCGGCATGGGCAAGAAGCTGTCCAAGCCCGACAACAAGGAGAACCAGGAGGCTCGAGGCAAAGACGGGTCCGGGCAGGGCCTCGGAGGAGGCGCCCAGGGAGGCGGGCCGATCTCGGGGGCAGGTGGAGGAGGCGATGGAGGTGGAGGCGGAGGAGGAGGGGGAAGTGGCGGCGGGAGTGGACAGGGGAGCAAGGATGATGTGAAAAATAATAAGGATAATGATAAAAAGGTGTGTTTGAGTTGTACATTGGAGGAGGTTGGTGCCAAAGTGGGTCAAACCACTTTTATAGAAAAATGGGGTCCAAATGTTGTGTTGCTAAAAAAGAATCCTGGTTGTTGGAGGAGCCATTATGTGCATCCGAAGATGTTTCAACCCTGTCCAGAGATAGAAACAGCTGCTCTGTGATGACTTAAGTTTTAATGTTGCCTTTCCTTTTGCTGAAGGCCAAAGCGGGTCGTACCACTTTTTGTACTTTTTGAGAAACAAACTGATTCAAGGTTTGTCTCGCTAAGCAGCATTGAAAAGTTCACATCATAAGGAACTAGAGATACTTTGAGGACCATGGGGTAGAAATAGATGCTTGGTGGTGGTTCATTAAGTTTTTATTTTACCTACCAGTTGCGTTTTCACGGGGCTCGTCCGCCATCTTGAATCGCAAACACGTGCAACTACCTCCAATCGATTCCTGTGTCTTGCCCAGTTTGCCACTACATTGTCATGCCAAAACCACTTCAAAGTCCCATTGTGACATTACTAGTGGGCTGTTGGTTGGACCACTTTGCCCCAAACTAGTAGACCATAAACACTCTACTTTGGGTTTGTTGTGGTTTGACCCTCTTTGGCGCTGAACCCCTCATTTAGTCGAAATGTGTCCAATGTCTAAATGTATCATCCATAAACTCCTGTGTGTGTTTCTCCAGGAAGAGGTCTCTGGCCTCAGCGCCCACCGCCTGGCTTTGACCATGCTGATAAAGATAGTCAAGTCTCTGGGCTGCGCTTACGGCTGCGGCGAGGGGCATCGCGGACTATCGGGAGATCGCCTCAGGATGCAGGTCAAACTCTTTTCCCAACGCTCGTCTGTGCATATTGGCAGTTTCAACACAGTTTGACACGTATTCATTTTGTATTAATTGTTAACTGCACTTCTTCTTCGGTGTCATAAAAGTTTCGCGAAACTGAAGAAAACCCTGCAAAGATGCTGCAGTGCTATTTTAATGCGGATCAATGACCTTTATGAGACAAACAAAATCTTGACAGTCATAGAAATCAATAAAAACTGATTAAAATAGCACATCCTGTACTACAACCGAATCAGATCAGCTTCTACATAAAGTGACTTCCTCAATCTGTTCCCTTTCAGGCCCAGAACTGCCTGACGAACCTGTACAAGCTGGACAAGCTGCAGTTTCGCCAGACAATGCGCGAGTACGTCAACAAAGACTCCCTCAATAACATTGTGGACTTCCTGCATGCACTGCTGGGCTTCTGCATGGAGCCCATCACTGACAGTAAGTGCACTCACACAGTGGTGCGTGTGAGTGGGATGCACACCCGAACAGACGACTTTCTCACATGCAACAAATGCAGAACCAGGGTGACTCTGGAAACAGCGCCGGTTTCGAAATGCTTGTACCAATCAGATCAAGGGCTGCAGCCCCTACAGTTACTTATTCAGCCAATCAATTAATCGTTTAGTCTTCAAATGTCAATACAAAACTAAACAAGTTCACGACCCCGCTAGCAGCTCAACAGCGCTATGACGCAATGCTAACATGCTACTGTTTAGCAGGTACCGTGCCGCTAGCATGTTTACCATCAAGTTTATTGTTTGCATGCTAATGTGTTGGCGCCTCGTCGCGAACGAATACCTGCAGAACATTCCCATCAGCTTCAGCTGCTCTCGTGCTAATGAGCGAGCATTTGCATGCCAACAAACGGAGATACTGAACATGCTAACATTAGCCGATTCTAAGCATCAGCATGTTGGCATCGTCGCAGCGAGCATGTTAGCATCCTGGACTGATTCAGACTTTCACCTGAGGATTGTAGTGAAGACTTAGATGGTTAAGGTGAATAGATTTTTACCGGCTAATGATGCCACACATCTTCCATCACAGCACAAAACTACAACCAGTACTCATATTTATGAAGCAATAGCAATAAACTTTCTGATAAATGGCTTAAACGATTAATTGATTTTCTATGCAGATGATGGCTAATTGATTAATTGTTCCAGCAGTACACTCAAGCAAACTGGTATGTTTTTTCTAATCAAGCCTATATCACACTCAGAGGTCGAAGAGTAGAGCATAAAAAGACAATTGGTGTCAAAGCTGAATTGTCCTGCGGCTGTCTCACCCCGCACTTCGACTTTTTTGCATTCCAGCGCTACCTCTTTTTTATATATATCTGTTTTTTTTCCCTTTCCTCCTTCCACTCGTCTCCGCTCGTCCCTTGTTGTCGTCCTCCTCCTCCTTGCCTCCATCCTCCTTTCTTTTTTTTCCCTCCTCCTCCTCCATCCACCTCAACGAGCTGAATCCTTACCTTCCTCTACTCACTCATCCATTCTGTACACTTGCCAATCCAGAGCTTTGCCCATTCACATCTCTGCTCAATCAGCGGTTGGATTCGCTGAGCATTGAGACACATTGTACATGCCAATTCAGTTTTGCATTGAAATTCTTAAAAATACGGTGTAATTGGCAAGTTACTGAACCGATGAGTGTTTTGATTCCGAAAGTGAACAGGGCACCTTGTTTAGTTTTGGGTGTGTGTTATTTTTGAGTCGTCTTTGTGTGTTTGTGTGTGTGTCTCGGGTTCACCTCTTTTACCCGGAGGTGGGGTGCCTCGTCCTTTCTGACACCGCCTACATGTCTGTGCTGGCCTGATGTCAATCAACTTGTGCCCCGCCTCTTTTCTCTTTGCAGAGTACGGCAGTGCAGGTGAGAGGTCCAGGAGGGCGAAAAAAAGAAACATCGGTAGATACACATGATCAATAACAGTCAATGATAACCGCTATATAAGATGATCACACCCACCTGATCAGACCCTTCCCTAGGCACCGCTTCCATCGCTGCAACCCTCACTCTGTCCGAAAAAAAGTGACAAACTCGCCTGCGACATCCTCAAATTTAGCCTTGAATGTCTGAATCTGGCTGATGTATTTTAAGCTTCATCTAACTGGACCAAGAGAATAAGGCCCCTACTGTATGTTATTTTAAAAGCAGGCCTTAGTCACTTGCATGTATTCCTTATTCCCTACCCAGAATCCTTTTCAGTTTGCTTCTTCCCCATATGCTTTATGAACCCCTTTCCTTTGCCCCCCCAACCCTCCCCTACTCCTTCCCTGTTGTATGGGCTCGCTGTTTTTTTTTTTATTACTCTGGTCAATAATGTTCTCTAAACCAACCCCCCGTGTGATCCGTGGTCTCTCTCTCCTACCTCCGTTGTCGCTTCCAGACAAGGCGGGCTTCGGGAACAACTTCACCACGGGGGACAACAAGTCGGTGGCCCAGAACATGGAGGCGGTGGTGGTGGGCTGCATGTTCAAGTCGCTCATCACCCGCTGCGCCTCCACCACACACGAGCTGCACAGCCCGGAGAACCTGGTGAGTGGTGAGAGAGATAATCCTCCACGTCTGCCTGTTTATTTTTGTCAGTTTCTCATTTAAGTTGAAGCTGAATCAAGGAGGATTAATTCTGTACTGAGCCTAAAAAAAGAACAGTTAGTCAACCTTTTGTCTATTTGCTTTTCTCTTGCCCTTACTTTTTGGACAAAAGTCTTTCTGTTTTATTCTGTGGAACCACTGATCCCTCTTGCAGAAATCTGGAGCAGTCTTAATATTCTGTTGAAATGCACAAGAGCATCCTCCATCTATTGCACACAGCTTCTAAATGCCTTTTCATATCGTCAGCAGGAGCGCTCTAAAGTGTTCCTTGGCAGATTCTCTACAAGACAGTCCCCGTCTTTCATCGAGACATTTATAACTTTCCTTTTGTACCTGACGCGAAAAGATCTAAATCATAGTTTTTAAGTCAGACACGGGCGTGTTTGTGCGACGTCCTTCGAACCACGAAGGCAGTTTACTGATTCACATCATGAACATGCATTAGAGCAGAGTCTAAAACATAATCAAGATGATAAATTAACAAAATATACAAACAAATCAGTGCAGAAAAATTTATTGAGTTTCATTGCTCATTGAAACCTACCATAAGAGGATAATAACAAATGAAAACACTTGTCTTTACTGAGAATAAATATCCACTGTAGTCATGCTTTCATCAAGATAATTACTTAAATGTCAATATATGTTAACGTTTGTATTTTTAGCATTTTCCTCATCATATCATAAATCTTGCTCGTGTTTATCTGCAGTTGAATTTTTTCCTCCTTAGCACAAGATTAAAGAGAAATGCAAAGGTAATTAGTTATAGCAACATGAATACAGTAATGTTAGCTTGCAAGCTAAAGCTATAAAGTCATTTTATTCAATTATAATCAAATCAAACTTTATTTATATCGCACTTCTCATACAATAGCGCAAAGTGTTTTGCTGGATTTAAAAACAAGAAAACCCACCATGTACACACATGGACAAAATTGTTGGTCCCCCTCGTTAATGAAAAAAAAAAAAAGAAACATGAGTATATATATATTTTTTTTTAAATAATTCTGCTAAACCACGGTTCAAAAGCAATGTCTGATTTTCATTGGTTAATTTTCATAGAATTTTTATTTATTATTACTTTTGTCAGATTCAAGTTATTTCTGTGGGTTTTTCTTTCATTAATTGAGGGCGACCAACAGTTTTGTCCACATGTGTACATGTATGGCTTCATCTACACACACACACACACACTCATACACACTCTCACCACTGACTGTAGGAAAACAGACACTCATTCACACATTTGTAATTTTAAGTGCAATGCTATGTAAACAATTAGCAGTTAAGTGCCATTATTATTATTAAAATGACCTGCTGGTGTGAAAATACAAACCTCAGTTTACTTATAAAATGAAAAACAGAGTCAAAATGGGCTTCAGCGCTGACCTAGATTTGTTATCTGAGTTCACATAAATCAAAAATTATTCTCAAACGCCGCGTGCATCCTGAGTAGGTCTGCTTGGACCGCTCCTCTGGAAGCACTGAAGCGCCGTGGCCTCTCCGCGGTGCCTGGAACGCCTTGAGGCTGGCATGACTGGAGAGTACGTTGGCGGAAGATGACACACTTTTCAGAGCAGGCTTTATTATGGCACCGAATCAGAGGCCACCCACTCACAAGCTGGAGACGGTGCCTCGATAAACTCCAGCCTGCTCCTTCACGCCACACACACACACATCTACACGCTGTTCGAAGCGTGATGCTGTCGGTTTTTCTTTGTGTTTTTCTTCTTCCTCTGACACCCTCGCTCTCACTTTGCTTGTCGTCCTCCCTCCCCTCCCGCTCAGGGTCTGTACTGTGACATTCGCCAGCTGGTGCAGTTTATTAAGGAGGCCCATGGAAACGTGTTCCGCCGGGTGGCACTGAGCGCGCTCCTGGACAGCGCCGAGAAGGTCACCACCACCAAGAAACCCGAGGAGAAGGAGGAGACCAAACAGCCCGGACCCAAGAGGTAGTGGCCAATCAGTGGCCTAATTAGCATATCATTTTTCTCCAATTATAAAACAAGCAATAACTGTTGAAGCATCCTCGAGGTTGGACTTCCTCCCCATTACAAGCATTTCTCTGAAGATTTCTCCCTTTCTGACAAATCAGAGCTTCTCATCACTGCTTGACTTTTTGTTTTTATTTTTTCTGTCCTGTCTGCATCTGTTTTACTCGCTTGAGTGACTGATTTGATGTCCTTGTTTTTGAAAAGAACGTGGCTGTAGCACATCTGCCAGGAGCCGAAAGACTTTTGTTTTATTCCCGAGTTTGGGTGAATAAAACTAGTTTGGCTTTTCGGCTATGGATGGGGGTTGTGATTGCTGCTTTGAATTGGCAGCGTGCTACATCCACGTCCTCTGCTCGTCCACTGGATTTGTCAGAGCAGTCTGTGGTTACAAGCTAGCACCAGTCGCAGTTTGAATGAAAACAAATGCAGAGCGGCAGAAGCGAAAAAAAACCAAGACAGCTCAGTCGGTGTCTCGATCACATGGCCTGTGTCTGTGTGTTGGGGTTGTGTGTGCGCGCAGGTCAGAGGCGGGTGTGTCCGGGGAGAAGGGTCAGGTGTCCAGTGCTGCAGATGAGTGTCGCAGCTACATCTCCAGTAGACCCCCCCAGACACCCGAACAGTGAGTGTCCACCCCTCACAGCATCTCCATATAGCACCATCTGAGCCCAGCTGCCATTTCTCTGCTCAAAATAGGAAAAAAAAACCAAAACATCCTGTTGCTTCTTCTTCTCCCCTCCTCCTTTAATAAAGAACAGGCGCTAAATGTTCTCCTCAAACCTTCTATTCCTTCTCGTCCCCTTTTTCTGTAAACGCAGCGAAGAGCAGATCCCGGGCGCTCTGCTGGGCAGGAAGGACTTCTGGAGGAAGATGTTCAAGTCGCAGAGCGCCGCCAGCGACACCAGCAGCCAGTCGGAGCAGGACACCTCGGAGTGCACCACCGCGCACTCCGGCACCACCACCGACCGGCGCTCTCGGTCCCGGTCCCGTCGCATTTCGCTTCGCAAGAAACTGAAGCTGCCTATAGGTAAGATGGGGGTTGGTATTCAACCTCTAAAAGATAAGGTTTGCATTCATTTTTCTGAGTCTAAACATTACCGCTTGTCAGTGCACTTACACAAATATATATGTGTGCAAGTACAACTCCTGTGATTAAAAGGTTTGATATGTTTTAAATGAATCTAAACGTAGAAAATCAACAATAGATTCTGATTTCAAGATCTTGTGCACCAGTTGTTCGACTCCCTAACGCATGATGAGCGTTGAACTTTATGTTAGATGCTTTCAATCAAAAATACTACATATGCTCGACCCTAAAGGACACATTTGAAGAGTTAATTTGCAAAAACAGATCACTTCATCTTCACAAACCCTCAGAAAACCCGCTTTTCAATCAAACTTAAGCTATTTTCGTCGTGTCAAATCCACTCAACTCCATTTTAACTGCTATTATCTCAAGCAAACAACAAATAAAAATAAGTTTTCTGAAAATCTACAACCATGGAGTGAACTGTTTTTGCAAATTACCTCTTCATTTGTCCTCTTAGAAATGATCCTTTGCCATGTCCCTGACCATATCTCATTGCATCTGATGTCACTTGCTAACATGATGTGTTTTGTATGTCCAACATTGTAACACTGCCCGCCGCCAGGCCGAGTCACTTCATCTCTTTGGTCTGTTTTGTGCTCCTTCTTTTGTGCCTTTAGCGTGCCGTCGGACCGTTCGCCTACCGCTCACTCTCTCTGTCCTACGTATGTGGATGTAGAGCCATCTTCATACAGTGTTGGTGTCCTGTCTGTTTGTGTGGCTCGTCTCACACGGTGTGCGCCGTGTTCCAGACCTGGGTCAAATTGTATTTGCAAATCGGGAGCTGCCTCAGAAACAAAAAGAGCGACACAGC